TCCTGAGTAGCTGGGATTACAGGCACGCGCCACCATACCCAGCTAATATTTTGTATTTTTAGTAGAGATGGGGTTTCACCATGTTGACCAGGATGGTCTCGATCTCTTGACCTCGTGACCCACCCGCCTCGGCCTCCCAAAGTGCTGGGATTACAGGCTTAAGCCACCGCGCCCGGCCCAAATAATTAAGTTTTAACTATAAACATATATAAAAATAAAACTCCAAAAGGATGTATTACAAACCAGTTTTGAAATTATTATTTTTACTTTCTTTAATAGATTTTTATAGTCTGAATCTTTTACAAAGACCAATTATTTTAAAAGTTATTTTAATGTAGTTAAAAATAGTTTAAATTTAGTGAAATGCAGTTTTTAAGATTACAATAAGTACAATCTGAATTATTAATCCTTAAGTATTCTATATTCAAGAAAAGTATGTGATTTTTGAGTGATGCAATTAAAGGTTTTAACACTACGAGCAGATCAACTATGAACTTCTGCTACTTGAAGTTGGTTAAAGGACAGTACATACTTCACAACTGACTTGTGAGGAAGGTTTCAGTTTTCCTTTTGATAGCCTTTTGAGAAAATTATTTTTCAAATCAACAAATGCTTTGATTTTGATTTGCATCTTTTATTTTCATGTTATAGTGTAAACTAGGACAGAAAGTTCAATTAAAAGTTCTACATGAACTACTGAAAAGATCATGATACATTAAATATATATAATGATACATTAAATATATATCACAGCATACTAGAGGAAAGATAAAAATATATATTTAAAGAAATACCCTTCTGTAGTTCTCATAAAATCTCCCCCATATCTATAAATGTTCTAATGTTGCTGTGAATTACTCCCTCCTTCCTTCTAACACTTTCTTCCATTGGCTTTAGGACACCACATTCTGTAGGATACCCTTTCTGGTCTTTTTTTGCTGGCTTTCCTCCTCTGCTTGATAACTACATGTGGGAGGCCGCCAGGACTTGGACTGGCTTCTTCTCAAACTTCACTCTTCCTCAGATGACTTCATCCAGTTCCATGGCTTCAGATACTCATAATGTAGTAATTATTCTCTATGTGCCCACTTTCAGCTTTCACTGAAATTCCAAACTCATATAGCTATTTCAAATTTAACATGGCCCCAAAAGAACTCTTATTTTCTCTTCTCCAACCCCAACCCTCCCCTCCTTCAAGTTGTTCAAATCAAAAATTTAAGAGTTTTCCTTGATTCCTCTTTTGCCTGCAATCCCCACATCTAACTCATCAGCTTCTAAACTCCGAAATATCTCAATAGTTCAAGTCCTCTCATTTCCACTACTAACAACTACTAGTCCAAACCACCTTCATCTCTCTTGAACTACTGCAACAGCTTTCTAACAGGGCTATTTCCAGTTGTGGCCCTTTCAATAACTTCTTCATATAGTAGTCAGAGTGATCTTTTAAAGTATTACTGGCAATACATTGCTCCTCTGCTCCAACTTCTCAGCACACCTAGAATAAAATCCAGAGTCTTTACCCTGGCTTTCAGACCCCTACATAATCTGGCACTGGCCTGCTTCTCTGGCTTCACTCCCTATCATCCCTCCTCTTGCTGACCAGGCTCCAGCAAAAATGGCCCAAATTTGGCTACATGCCATCTGTTATGGACTGAATGTCTATCTATGCCTCCTCAAAGTTCATATGTTCAAGTGTTATCAAGCCTGTGAGGAATGGATAAAGGCTAAATGAGGTCATAAGGATTGAGGCTCAAATTTGATAGGGCTGGTATCCTTATAAGCAGCAGAAGAGACAGATCTCTCTCTGTCTTCAAGCATGCATACAGAGGAGGCCGTGTGAGGATACAGAGAAGGCGGCCATATGCAAGGCAGGAAGAGAGCCCTTACCAGGAACCAAATCACTGGACCTTGATCTTAGACTTTCCAGCCTCCATGCTATGAGAAATACATTTCTATTAAGCTACCCAGAATGTGGTATGAACAAATATATTTGGTCTTGGTCCCCAGTTCCTGACACACAAATCTAAAATGTGAAGAATCACACAAGTGATGTGTGGTTTTCATATGCCAATGGGATGACTGGAGGCAGGTGGCCCCCAGATAGCTTCAGGACAGATGCTGGTCCCAGAAAAACCAAGGCATGATTAGAGGGTTAGATCGTTCAGTATCCCATCCTATCCATGTCCTTCAGGGAGGGGAGAGAGGGTAGAGACTGAGTTAATCACTCACGGCCAATACTTCAGTCAATCATGTTTACGTAGTGAAACCTCCATAGAAACCCTTAAACAACAGAGTTTTGAGAGCTTCTGGGTTGGTGAACACATTGAGATTCCAGTAGGGTGGTGTTCTGAAGAGGACATGGAAGCTCTGTGCACCCCTCCTTGCTATTCCCTGGCTTATGCCTTGGGCTGTTCCTGAATTGCATCCTTTATAATAAACCAATAATAATAAGAAAAGTGCTTTCCTGACTTCTGTGAGATGTTCTAACTTGGGGAGGAGACTGTGGGAATACTCTGACTTTATGCTGATTTGCTGGGTGGCCTTGACGTCCGGCTGGCATCTAAAGTGCAGGTAGCCTTGTGGGACTGAGTCCTTGACCTATGGGGTCTGTGTTAACTCCAGGTAGTTAGTGTCAGATTGTATTGAGTTGCAGGACACCTAGTTGGTGTCGGGAGAACTGGAGAATTAGTAGTGTGAGAAAAAACTCTGTACATTTAGTGTCAGGAGGGTTTTGAGCAGAAACTGTCCAAAGTGGTATTTTGTTATGGAAACCCCAGCAGATGAATACAATCACCTAACCTCATTCAGGATTCAGAGCCTTTGCTGTGGCCTAGAATGTTCTTCCATGATCTTTGAATTCTGGTTTCTTCTTATCATTCAGGTGTTAGCTTAAATTTCACCTTTCCAGAGAGAATAACACCAACTGCTAGATCTAAAGTAGCCACCCAATTACTTTCTATTTTAACTTTCTATAGAACACTTACCACTATGGTCTACTCTCAACTAACCATTCTCTGAAGAATACTGTAAAATCCTGGGCCAGTTTTCTCTTATTACTCATCAAGTTCTGGGAATGCAAAAGTTTTACATTACCTTCAGAAAAATAAGATGAAGATGGTAACATAGCTACAACAATAATCATATAAAGCATTTGAAAGTCAAGTTTCTTACTTTTATCTAAAAATTCTTCTCAATATACAGAGCAATGTATTTGAATAAACTGTATACAAAGGTGGCAATTATACATCTTATTTTACACAACTATAATTAATACTGCTTAGAAACTAACCTGTATTTTATGATATTCCTTAGGTGCAAAGAAGAGCAAAAACATTTTCTAAATGCCCATGTTAATCCTGAATGACACATTTAAATTCTTGGGTCCTGTTACATAATTCCCTACTTCATTTTTTTAAAGTAGATGTTCCCTTAAAAGAAAGTTACAGAAGATTTTGTTGCTGGTGGTGATTCTTTTTCTGTTTCAGAAAACAGTAATAATATATGTATTGTGTATAGATATGTTAAAGACACTAAAACATTAACTTTCTTACATACACAATGTATATAATCTAGCCTATAGACCCTGTTGCTTCTATCGGTTTATATTTCATTTTTTATGAATCAGTTTAGATAAAACTTTTCAGCATCTCTTCCTGGTAAAGGAGACTCATCTATCTATGTTTCTCCCTAGCACTGGAACTATGCAATTTGTATCAATGTAAGTGTAATTTTAAATCGTCTGCTAGATAAAAACAAGTTATGCAGGCATTTTCCAAGAGAAAAATACCTTCTGTTTACACAGAGGCTGCTGGCTTTTAAAGTGACTGATGACTTACCTTCTGTAGGCCTTGATGAATGAGGTGACCTATGTCATCTATACTCCTTCCTAACCGTTTAGATAAATATGTGAAGATTGGGTCTTCTTTAGGTAACAGAGGTGCAGAAAGGTTAACTCTCTCTTGTACACCCTGAAGAGAAGAAAAAGATTCAAGAGACATAATCAAAAGATATAAAAGATGACAAATAATTCAGTATCTCGTAGTATTTATTTTGAAATACTAATATTTTGGAATTTCAAGAAATAGATGTCTATAAAATTATAAAGCTGTTTGGAAGGAGAGAAGAAATAGAAATAGTCTTTTTTTTTTTTTTTTTTTTGAGACGGAGTTTCACTCTTGTTACCCAGGCTGGAGTGCAATGGCGCGATCTCGGCTCACCGCAACCTCCGCCTCCTGGGTTCAGGCAATTCTCCTGCCTCAGCCTCCTGAGTAGCTGGGATTACAGGCACGCGCCACCATGCCCAGCTAATGTTTTGTATTTTTAGTAGAGACGGGGTTTCACCATGTTGACCAGGATGGTCTCGATCTCTTGACCTCGTGATCCACCCGCCTCGGCCTCCCAAAGTGCTGAGATTACAGGCTTGAGCCACCGCGCCTGGCCAGAAATAGTCTTTATAAGTGAGGGACCAACTGAAAGAAGAATATGCAGAAAAAAAAAAAATCCTAAAGTTCTCTACTTACTCTCAAGTGCTGAAAAGCATGTATACTATATGGAAGTTCTAGAATTTTAGTACAATCAGGTTGCTCAGGGTCTGGAGGGACAGGAGATTCTGTGTCTATATAATCTTCAGGACTAAAATCAAGAAGCAAGAAGCAATGAATCAATAAAAGGTGAGACAAACAATATTTATTTATTTAAAGAGTCTCATTCTGTTGCCTGGGCTGTTGCACAGTGGCATGATCACAGCTCACTGCAGACTTAACCTCCTAATCTCAAGTGACCCTCTCACCTCAGCTTTCCAAGTAGCTGGGGCAACAGGCATGTACCACTGTAACCAGCTGATTTTTAAATTATTTTTTGTAGGGACAGGTCTATGTTGCCCAGGCTGCTCCTGAACTCCTGGCCTCAAGTGATTCTCCCATCTTGGCCTCCCAAAGTTTTGCGATTACAGGCATAAGTCATTGTGCTGAGTCAATAATACTTTAAGAAATGTCTAATTTTCCCCATATTCTCATAGCATCTTAACTTTACAATTAATTATTAGTCAATATTCATACCTTTTCTTATAGCTGCTGTAAAAAGCCAAACATTATGGGAGTTCAAATTAAAGTCAAGAATTACAGAGAAAATAGTAGACAGGTCACATAATGTTAAGATCGTGAATTTTTTAATAACTAATATAACTGCTCAATTGTTTCTAGAAATGTTAAACCAATTTACACTTCCATTGACAGTCTCTACATTTTTACCAGTTACTATTTTTCATATGCTTTCCATTTTGGTACATGAAAATTATCTAAATGTTTTAATTTGTATTTATTTGATCATTTCTGAGAAATATGTTTTCCATGTTTATCAGCCAGAGGTAGTTTTGTTAATTTTTTTTTAACTACAAATTGTTCAATTCTCTCTCTCTCTCTCTCTTTTAAGAGACAGGGTCTCACTGTGTCACCCAGCCTAGAGACTGGGCTAGAGTAGAGTGGCACCATCAAGGCTCACTGTTACCTTGAATTCTTGGGCTCAAGTGATCCTCTCGCTTTAGCCTCCTGAGTAACTAGAACTACAAGTGCACACTACCATGCCCAGCTAATTTTAAAAAATTCCTTTTTTTTTTTTTTTAAGAGATGGGGTCTCAATATATTGCCCAGTCTGTCTCAAACTCCTGGCTGTGGGCAATCCTCCCACCTTGGCTTCGCAAACTACTGGGATTACAGCTGTGAGGCACCATGCCTAGCCAAATTCTTCCATTTTCTACTGTGATGTTAAATATTTTAAATTAATTTATAGGAATTCAACATGTATGTATTTTGAACTTTCAAATTCAAAAACTCATCTGTGACTGAAGCTTAGTCTTACTACAGAAATAATTTCTTACTGATTTGAGAATGGAATGTTTGAAAAACAATTTTATTTTTGGAAAGAGAACTTCTTTACCTGATGTCTTTGCTCTCCAAAGTTATGTATGTGCCATCATATAGATCCAGGTCCCCTAAGGGCACCTTGGCTTTGATGCAGTCGGGGTCTTCTTTATTATGTCTCTGTTCCAGTCCTGTGTCTCTGTCCTCATTCTCTTCTATGTGAATTTTTTGAGCAACTAATTGTTTCTGTTGAGAAGAAAGTAAGAACAGAATGGATTCTTCTAATATTTTAGTCTAGCTATCACTGAAGAGAAAGGGAAATTTGTGCTGAAGAAGTCAGAATCCTCTATATAGGAAGACAAGAATTCTGAAAATGCCCTTAGTTAATGTAGTCAACACATACGAGCTTCTCAAAAAAGATGTCCACATACAGAAAGTAACAGAACATGACATTTACCATACTGGCACACGTGTGCCTTCATAATATGATTTCTGACTACCCATGAAGCACATCTATAACTTAACTTTCCTGGCACAGAATGGCTCTGCAATGAAAACATACCTGTTAGGTTATTTCAATTCTTCAAGACATGGGGCATGTTGCTATCGCTACCTGAGTAATCTAGTTAATTCCTGACACTCATAAAATATCTATTTTTTCAAATGTACAAATAACACAAATATCCATATTTTTACCACTCATATATACCATATGCCAATATTTTCTCTTTTTTGTTTTTTTTTGAGACAGGGTCTTCCTGTCACCCAGGCTGGAGTGGTGCAGTGGTGTGATCACAGCTTACTGCAGCCTCCGCCTCCTGGGGTCAAGTGATCCTCTCACTTCAGCCTCCCATGTAGCTGAGACTATAGGCATGCACTACCATGCCCAGTTAATTTTTTTTTTTGAGACAGGGTCTTACTTTGTCACCCAGGCTGAGTGGAGTAGTGCGATTATAGCTCACTGCAACCACAAACTCCAGGGCTCAGGTGATCCTCCTGCCTCAGCCCCACAAGTAGCTAGGACTACTGGTGCAGACTACCATGCCTGGTTAATTTTTTGTATTTTTCTTACAGATGGTGTTTTGCCATGTTGCCCAGTCTGGTCTTGAACTCCTGAGTGCAAGCAATTGACCTGCCTTGGCCTCCCAAAGTATTGGGATTATAGGCGTGAGCCACCAGGCCTGGCCAATTTTTCTTCTTTTTATAGGGATGGGGTCTCACTATGTTGCCCAGGCTGCTCTCAAACTCCTGGGCTCAAGCAATCTTCCCACCCTGACCTCCCAAAGTGTTGGGACTATACGCATGAGATACAGTGCCCAGCTCAGATTTATTTTTTTAAAGGAGAAAAAAACAAAAAAGGAGTTCAAGGTCTTCTTTACTGTCTTCTAAATCTCTTTTTGCCATTAATCTGAATTTATGTGTCATTTCCATGTGTATTTTAATAAAATACTACATTACCCTTACTCTCTTAAAAAATTACTTTCATTATATATGTATCCAAAGGCAACATATAGCATTGCTCTGCAAGTTTTAAAATTTTATATAAATGGTATCATACTTAATGTGTTTACAACTTTAAAAAAAAGTATGTATGTTTTTGAGATTTATCTACATTAGTCAGTATAGCTCTAAATTTTTCATTTAAATAGAAGTATAAATATGTATTTATCCATTTTCCTGTAAATATTTATGTTGCATCTTTAAAAAAAAACTTTTTGCTATTAAAAATGCTACAATATTCTCATAAATGTCTCCATGTAGACATGTGAAAAATTCTAACAAGGGCAGAAGCATGAGGTCACATAAGATGCACATTTTCAGTTCTATATAGACATGTCAATCTGCTTTTCACAGTGGTTATAACAATTAGAATTCAATGAGTAGATCACAACATCTGTATCTCCAGAATCTTACCCATGTTTGGTTTTGTCATACTTTTTACCTTACACCAATCTAATAGGTATGAAACATTATTTTGTTATATTTATTGCAGTAGTAGACTATGTTTTACTATTCACTAATATCTGCCCTTCCTTACAAGAAGATACATCACTGTTCTGCTGGACTCAGGCTTGGGCAATATGACTTGCTTTGGCCAACGTAACATAAGTCCCATGCGACCCTTTTATAGGAAAGCTTTTATATAGTGTATGCTTCACCATGTTCTTTCTTTTTCCCTCAGCTACTGAGAATGCCAATATTACAGATAGTGGCTGCTCTGTCGGCCTGGGTCCAAGCTAATGGATCAGTGACATGGTACAGATCCCCAACAGAGCCCCAAATGATCATTTAGCCTGGCCTTATTGTTTTATGACATTAAGATTTTGGGGTTATTATCAGTGTGGACATAGCCTATGACCTGTTTCCAATTATTCCCTCCATACTATTCATGGAGGTAGGTTATCCCACCCTACTGACTTCAAGGCATGGATGCACAGAACATAAGTAGAGATGGTGTATGTCACTTCTCAGTAGAAACTTTAACCAGGCTTACTCTTCCTTGAGCCTTCACTTTCCTTCATGAGAACAGCACTGAGGTTCTGGGACTATTTATTGCCAATGCAAACGTTGACTAATACACTATGAAATATGGACTACATCAGCTAATAGAATTATATTTAATAAGACTGAACATATTTTCATATATTTATGAGCTATTTTGTGAATTGACTATTCAAGTTGGCTCATTTTTTCCCCAGTAGGTTTTCTTTTTTAAAAAATTGATTTGTAGGATTGGTGTGGTGGCTTGTGCCTATAATCTTAGCATTTTGGGCGGCCAAGCCCAGAGGGTCACTTGAGTTCAGGAGCTTGAGATCAGCGTGGCAATACTGGAGACCCCATCTCTACAAAACAAAAAAAAAGCCAAGAGTGGTGGTGGTGCTCGCCTGCAGTCCTAGCTACTGGAGAAGCTGAGGCAGGAGGACTGCTTGAGCCCAGGCAAAGTGGTTACAGTGAGCAATGATCATCCTGTCTGCCTTCCAGCTGGGGCAGGAGTGAGACTCTGTCTCAAAAAAAAAAAAAAAGAGAAAAGAAAAGAAAAGAAATTAATCTGTAGAAATTTATTATGGAAAAAGTAATTCTGTAAACTCATCCTCTATGAGTTATAGGCATGGCAAGTATTGGCTTCTAGTTTGTAGCTTATCTTTTAATTTTGTCATTTGAAGAAAAACTTTTAAGGTGGGCAACTTTTATCAACTGCTTTCTTGTTTGTACTTTGTTTTATTTAAGATATCCTTCCCAACCCTGAGAGCATAATTATATCAACCAACTACAGTAAAGCATGGCATAAAGATATTTTGGTTAACAATGGACCCCAGCGGTGGTTTCATAAGATTATAACACCACATTTTTACTGTGCCTTTTCTATGCTTGGATATACAAATACTTACCATTATGTTACAACTGCCTACAGTATTCAGTACAGTAACATGTTATATAGGTCTGTAGCCTAGGAGTAATAGGCTATACAATATAGCATCTGTATAGTAGGCTATATCACTTAGGTTTGTGTAAGTACATTCTATGATGTTCCCACAATGGTGAAATCACATAACAACTTATTTCTCAGAGCATATCCCTGTCATTAAGCAATGCATGACTGTCTATCAATCTACTCTATTTTTTTAGTAAAAAGTTTCACTTTTCATATTTAGATAATTTTTAAACTGTACAGGATTTTTTTTGTATATTGAAAGGTAATAATTTTTTTCCCCACATGGACAATTTCCTAATATCATTTATAAAGAGTCTATCCTTTACCCATTTATTCAATCAACTTTTATATTTTATATTTCATGGTTTTCTAAAACTTATACCTAAGATTTCAAATTTATTGGTCTAAAGTTTTTGTAGTATTAATAATTATGTCTTTTTATTTTTTTGAGATGAAATCTCACTCTGTTGCCCAAGCTGGAGCACAGTGGTATGATCTCGGCTCATTGCAACCTCCATCTCTTGGGTTCAAGTGATTCTCCAGCCTCAGCCTCAGTCTCCCAAATAGCTGGGACTACAGGCACGTACCACCATTCCCGACTAATTTTTGTATTTTTAGTAGAGACAGGTGTTTCATTATGTTGGCCAGGCTGGTCTCAAACTCCTGACCTTGTAATTTGCCCACCTTGGCATTGCATAGTAAATACTTTTTCTAGGTTCTCTCCTCTCCTCTTATATCTTCTCTTTATTTGTAAGTTTGATAACTATAGATTACATTTTTCTTTTTTTTGAGACAGGCTCTCACTCTGTCACCCATGCTGAAGTGTGGTAGTGCTATCAAAGTTCACTGTAACCTCAAACTCCTGGGCTCATGCAATTCTCCTGCCTCAGCCTCCCAAAGTACAAGGATTACAGGTGTGAGCCACCACACCGAGCTTGCATGTCTATTATTTTAGTGCTTGCTTTTTTTTTTTTTTTTATTGTTTTCATCAGTAAATATTTCAGTATGTTTTGGAAAGAAAAGCCTCTTTTGTAAAAAATAAGACCACTGCACCATTACCAAATGTAAAAAATAGTAATTCCTTAATATCAAATACCCAGTCTGTATTCAAATTCCCAATTGTTTCTTCTCTTTTAAAAATACAGTTTGTTTGAATCAGAATCCAATGCAGTTCATATACACTGCAATTAGTTTATTTGTCTCTTACATCTCTTTTAATCTACTGGATATCCTCTCTTTCTATGAGCAGAATGTCTCCACCCCAGTCTTTAAGCAGTAAGCCTTGTTCTGTTTCTACATCCTGCATGGAATATTGTCAGCTTCCTTAATGCTACAGTGCTGAATATCAGACACCATAGCCTGCTCCTGGCCTTGGAGCCCAATAGGGGTCGGTAGCATTGGCTACATTCCCAGTTTAGTGCTTCTCCTCATTTTTGGTTTATGGAGATGCTTATATTACTTTCAAGCCTGCCTATATTTTATTTTGGTTTCTGTTTTTATATTTTTCCTGTCATTGCTTTGCATATGAAGCAGAAGCTTCACAGTATAAGTATAAACAAAAATAGAAGTTTACACTTAGTGTAAGTATAAATTCCTATACTACCTTAACCAAAAATTGGTGGAGTCAGTATTTTTCATTTCATTTTCACTGACTTAAAAAATGGCTCTTTCTTTCTATATATATTCTAATTTAAACATCTTTCTCTTTATATAATACTGCCTCCTAAAAAAGAAAGCAATAAACATATATAATGTTTCTGTACACCTGGAAATAAAAACCGTTTTCCACACCATTGCATCTTTCTGAACAGTGGGTTTAAATAAAAATAGATCATGCTTCCAAACATGAAGCACTATAAGAACACCCATTGTCTAATTCCCAGTATTGATAAACATCAACATTTCCAAATTTACAAGTGATAAAATCAGTAGGAACAAGGTGAGAAACTATTTTCATAATGTTGAGGTATTCAAATTCTAGAAATATTCTAATATACTACTACATATGCAAAGCTGGTTAACATGTGCTAAAGGTTTCTCTCTCTTAATTCACAGATTTTTAAAAAGCACATATTTATAACTATTTGTGGACATATGTATGTTGATAAATATACTAGTCTAAATTTATGAAAATGAAATTCGGGACTTTTACATAACAAGAAAATATATGCCAACTTGGTTTACCAGGCATGCCTGATTTTAAGTCAAGAGATACAGCTTGTTTCTGGTTCTGCCATATCTTGCTTTGTGAACTCATGCAATTCACTGTCTTTAGGTCTAATTGTTTCCTTGCCTCTAAAATGAGGATGATCTTATGATTCCTTCTAGTTCTCAAATACTGTAATTCTACTCTTATTACTTTATTATTCCCAACAGTTTTCTCTCATTTTGCAATTTAATGTTTCTACAACTTAGAGTTTCTTTAAAACTTAGATTCAATTTACACCGTAACTTTTTGTAAAATTTATACTTTAAGTTCTGGGGCACAGCTGCAGAACGTGCAGGTTTGTTACATAGGTATACACGTGCCCTGGTGGTTTGCTGTATCCATCACCCCATCATCTACATTAGGTATTTCTCCTAATGCTATCTCTCCCTTGTCCCCCAACCCCTGCTATCCCTCCCCTAACTCCCACCCCCCGAAAGGTCCTGGTATGTGATGTTCTCCTCCCTGTGTCCACGTGTTCTCATTGTTCAACACCCACTTATGAGTCAGAATATGCATACATTGTAAGCACTGTAAGCATTAAGCAGAGATTTCATGAGAAAAAAACCCCTAGTTTTTCAAATAACAAATACTGTTTGCTATAAAGCAAAATCAATTTATGGAACTATGTTAAAAGGAAAACTGATGTTTAATTTATTTATTAAACAAAGACGTCAGATTTTCTTAGTACTAATAAGGTTCGAACTTTCAAGGTACAAGGTGATTAATGTTTTTCACTTCAACCATAAGAAGACATAATAGGAAGACCTTAGTTTTTACTACCTGGGAATAAATACTGATTATATATTTAGGCTATTAAAATTTTTCTTTCTTTTCATATTTTACCCAAATTATTCTAGGAATATCTTCAGAGAGATTACATCATTTTCATATTTGATGAAAAAACTTAAACTTAGAAACTCTATTCAAGGATAAATGAGTTAAGAATCAGGCATATATTCACGGAAGAGTAGTCTGTTTTTCTTACTACTACTCAAATATCACTTTGGTAAAATGATTTAAAAAAAAACACTGCAGGTAAGTATATTCCTGCAAAAGTCAGAAGATCAGACTTAAAAAAATAATGTTTTAGCTTTTCTTTGAACACAATGACGTCTGTGAAATGTAACAAGCTTCAGCTGCAACTTATGTGCCCAGCTGCCTCACCTCTAATTCTTTGAGGTAGTTAACTGTTGTTTCTTGTCTCATTAATATGACTAGGTCATGAGGATGCTTCAAGTTCATTGGTGAATCCACCTGCAATCAAGAAAGCAAGAAATAAATAAAGCTCAGATTTCATTAATGCTTGTTTGGATTGATAACATCTCCTTTAATATGCATTACTGTTCAGTCACCATTGTAATCAGTGTCACTGCTTAGAAAAACTCAAGGAGTATTTCAAAGTGATCATATGTAAATGTTAGCAAAGGTAATGACAAGTTCAACAGTTGTCCTGTGAACTCCAACTTGGAAGAACAAGCATTCAGTACATATTCTGACTTGACAGGTGATATAATAGTAAAGAAGAGAAGTATCTGGCAATGACTGATGAAGTAACTTGTTAAATAATGTTTCATGCCTGTAATAATAAAAAATGAATTGTCTTGTTTCGATAGCACTTTTTATATCTGAATAGGCTTGGAAGTGATAAAAGGAAAATATTAAATGTACCTCTTTTTGAAAGCTATTTGTAGAAGTCATAAATCAAAGGTAATATAAAATAACCTTGAGATTTATTACTTATAGTTCATGTTCTCTAGATCAACAAATCAAACAAATTATGTGGAAGACATACAAAAAAATGAACACTCATATACCAGTAGCTGGCTTATAAATGTGTTCTCATTGTTTGGAGTGTCATTTGACAACATATATCAAAATGTTACAAGTGCATAACCTTCGACTTAGCAAAACAAATTCTAGGAAACTACCCCACAGACACTGTTCAATAAGCAGGCAAAGATATACATAAGGATGCTCAAGGTAACATCTGTAGCTGCAAAAGGAAAATTATAAACAACCTATGTAAATCAACAAAGTGATTAGATCCATTCATTGTCCAATGGAATGGGATACAGGAAAAATCGTTAAAGCTACTGCCAGTGACCAGAGTATAAGAGCTTTACATAAGGAAGCAGGAAAAAGTCTGCTTAATTTACAACTCTGCCCAGACCTCAAGAGATAGCTATTTAGTACATGACGCTATAGGTATTTTTAAATGAGATGTTTAGAAAAAAAAAAAAATTGGGGGAGGGAAGGGACTGTGACAGTCCCACTCCAAAATGCCTAATAAAGCTGAGCACAGTGGCTCACAACTGTAATCCCAGCACTTTGGAAGGCCGAGGCAGGTGGATCACCTGAGGTCAGAAGTTTGAGACCACCTTAGACAACGTGGTAAAACCTCATCTCTATTAAAAATATAAAATTTAGCCAGGCATGGTGGCACAAGACTGTACTCGCAGCTACTTGGGGGACTGAGGTACAGGAATTGCTTGAACCAGGGAGGCAGGGACTGCAGTAAGCCGAGACTGCGCCATTGCACTCCAGCCTGGGAAATAGAGCAAGACATCGTTTCACAAAAAGAAAACAAAAAACAAAATGCCTAACCATTCTGTTTACCTGATAATTGAAGAGTTGCAAGAAAGAATGAGATAAATGAAGATTTACATTAAAAAAATTATTTAAAGCATAATCTTAGCTTTAGATTAAAAAGTTACTATATAACAAAGTTTTATAATATTTTTATAGCATGGGTCTGGTCAACATTCAATTGTGAAGAAGTACTTTTCATTTCCTTGAGGCTTTTAGTTCAGCAAAGATATAATAGCCAGAGGAGGTGTAAAGATAACATCATTAGCAGAAGGAAGGGAGTTCACTGACAGCTGTGTTTCTCTTTTGGAGGTGACAGCAAATGGCAAAGATCTTTGCCAGATAAAGGTTGATTGCAGAAGACTTACAGCTCGACATATGTTTCCTGAAGTACCTTAGAGTTCTTAAATTTTAAGATGATAACTGTCTTTGGGAAGTGCCAATGTGAATTTCTCTCTTCTTAAATACTTCTCCTCCTTACAAGATTATCAGAATATGTTTCACAACTTTGTGGATACAGTTATATGCCAAATAAGATTTCAGTCAATGGCAGACTGCATATATGATGGTGGTCTCATGAGATAATACTGTATGTTTTTTTGAGACGGACTCTCACTCTGGTTGCCAGGGCTGGAGTGCAGTGGTGTGATCACGACTCACCGCAACCTCTGCCTTCCAGGTTCAAGCGACTCTCCTGCCTCGGTCTCCCAAATAGGTGGGGTTACAGGCGCCCGCCACTATGCCCAGCTAATTTTTTGTACTTTTAGTAGAGACGGGGTTTCACCATGTTAGCCAAGCTGGTCTTGAACTCCTGATCTTGTGATTTGCTTGCCTTGGCCTCCCAAAATGCTGGGATTACAGGCGTGAGTCACTGTGCCTAGCCTAATACTGTATTTTTACTGTGCTTTTTCTATGTTTAGATACACAAATACTTACCACTGTGTTACAACTGCTTACAGTACCACAACATGCTGTACAAGTTTGTAGCGCAGTTGTGTAGTAGGCTGTACCATCTAGGTGTGTGTAAGTATACTCTACGGTGTTTGCACAAGGCTGAAATCACCTGATTCATTTCTCAGAACACATCCCCACTGTTAAGCAATGCATGACCATATGACAAAATCCATTCAACCAATAAGTGTTTATTAAGCTTCTATACTGTACAAGTTTGTAGCCTAGCTGTGTAGTAAGTAGGCTGTACTATCTAGGTATGTGTAAGGATATGCTGTAACGTTTGCACAAGGTTGAAATCACCTGATACATTTCTCAGAACACAGCCCCACTGCTAAGCAATGCATGACCACATTACAAAATCCATTCAACCAAAAAATGTTCATTAAGCTTCTATAAGACAGGCCCACTATGAGTCAATATTTAGAGTCTATGTACCCCTGTGTCATATACAGCATGTAAAAGAATGGTAATATGCCTTCAAAGTCTTTAGCATTGAAAAGAGGCTGCTACAAGTTCAGAAGCAAATGGGTGATGGGAATTAGAAAGAAGTAGGTTAAAAAGGACATAATGAACACACAAAATCTCAAAGGACTTTATGGCTTTTTCACAAAGGATAAAAAACCCTACAAACTTCCACTGTTGCACAGCACAATAAATGATGCAAATAATGACCTGAGTTGTAAAGAAAAATTAGAATCATTTTCACTTACTTTATTTAAGAAGGTGAAGAAATTATGAAAAGTATTTTAGAGAAAAATTTAAGCTGCAGGGAAAAACCAATCAAGTATTTGGAAATTAGGCTATATGGAATTCTATTATCCAGAATAACTCATTCACTAAGAGTTCCGTAAACAAAGTTTCACTGTTACTGTGGCAATTTATTATAATAAAGAAAATGACAAGCCATATAAGGCAATTTGATTTTATTTTCCTTTGAATACATTATGTAAGTACAGGTTGAATATTCCTAATCTGAAAATCGGAAATCTGAAATTCTCCAAAATCTGAAACTTTTTGAGTTCATTGGAGCATTTCAGAATTTGCATTCTCAGATTAGGGATATTCAACCTGTACATGTATCCAAATATATATAACAGCAGGAAATATTTTATTCCTATCAAATTATTTTGATATGTTATTTGTTGCTTTATTTAACCAAGATATTGTAAATATCTATACCCAATCTGGAGCTTTATCTCAACAAATTCAGTAAATTCACATGGTAACATGGAAACATCACTCACTATATGAGGGTAATTACTTCACTGCCAAATCAGATTAAGGGTGAACATTTTAAACTTAATCAATCTAAGAGTATAAACATTTTTGATTTTCTACAAAAACAAGTTTGACTCAATCATTTTTAACTTATCCTTTATGGCAGAAAATGAAACATTTTTATTGTACCATTTATTCAAACTCTCATGTGCTACTTATTCTTCATATATACTGAACACTTTTACCTTTGTTTTAATGATATTCATCTGAGTACATGAAAACAACATGGGAAACTCACTCTTCTCCAAATAGCAGTTGGAAACTGATGAATATAATCTTACATTATGCCATCCTCATTTAAAAATTTTCCCCTTAAGTCAGAAACTAGGGGCAAAATAATTTTAATATTTTAATTCAGAATTATAGTTATTTAAATATTAAGAGAGTATGAAGAAAAGCATAAATCAAAATCTTCAAAGCTGCCAAGATTTTACCTTTGTGTAAAATCTGAAATAGTTCTGCTTAGTGAGTATTTGTAGTTTTTGCTACCCAATATCCGTTAAGTCCCTCCTTGGGGCAAAAGTACCTCACTTGCTTCCTTCCCTACATGGGAAGCCCTTGTCAGAGAATTCCTTTCCCTTGGTCATGGTGATTATTTCTGAGATATTATTCCAGTAAGATCAGATGGTACTAAAGAGACTCTAATCCAGAACTTTTAGCTACTGGTAACCAGACATCTTGTATCTACATGGCGCCTGAGAATGGGGACGAAGAAGCAAAGAAACAGAAACAGAAAAATCAATCCTTGTTATAATATTTGAGTCCTGAATCATACTGTACCTGCAGCCCTTAGAATTTACCCAAACATTCCAATGAAAATGTTACAATACAGAAAGTATTAATGTGTTATTTCTAAACCTCCATCTAAGTCCCTCTGCCTAGGGCATCTTATTATTACTATTGTGGCTCTTTTAAGAGCCTCTGTGCCTTTGCACATGCTACTTCCTCTACCTGGAATGCACTTCTATCCATGTGCTGTGCATGAAGGCCAAGTGACATTTCTTTTGTGAAGACATCCTTATCTTGAGCTCCCATAGCCCTTTATACACACTTCTGTAATAGCATTTATTATAGTATTTAATTACTACATGTCTCTCTCTTCAAAACATTTTTTAATATAATCACAGCTGATTTATTTAAATATATACAAACCATTCAAAATCCAGGTACCAATTTTTGCTACATAGTGGTATCTATTTTTTTCAATTTTTATTTTAGGTTTGGGAGGTACATGTGCACGTATGTTAAATGGGTAAATTGTGTGTCACTGACGTTTGGTGTATAAATAATCTCATTACCCAGGTGGTGAGCACAGTACCTTACAGTTTTCAACCCTTACCCTACTCCCACCCTTCACCCTCTAACAATCTTCAGCATCTCTGTTCCCATCTTTATGACCACGAGTACTCAATGTTTAGCTCCCACTTACAAGAACA